TCGGACTCCCCTTCTTTAAGCCAACGTCTACCACACTAGTAATTCGGTACACGGGGGAAGAAATATATGCGACGGTTTGCATATAATTTTGTACATATTCATTTCAACTTGCACAACCCGGAGAAATATTAATTAACCCCGGAGCCCGGAGATAACTCACTCAATCCCGGAATCTCCGGGTCAAACCCGAACAGGTGGCAACCTTAGGTATGTACAGTACTGTACATTCACCACACATTTTATTTTACCAAGTAAGTTTTTATTATTTTATTTATAATTGTAGCCCTTATATCGTGGCTAGCGATTCGGAATGTAATTGTGATATTAAAAATACATTTAGAGAAGTCTGCGGTTTTTACTGGCTTATCGAACAAACGATACGAATGGACCCTTGACCATCACTGACGCGCAATTAACTGATTGCCCCTGGAAGTCGGCTTCTTACAGAAACACAGCTTCCCTACTATCAAATGTCACGACACGCCAATGGTAGATGGTGTTTGATCGTATTTAGTCCATTTTCTATTGATGCTTTATTAATACATCAAATCGCTATATTATCTATTGTTTGCTGAGCAAACAGTTTTTATTACACTAACGTTTTCAACCTCTGTTTAGTATAGATCATACTCCGGCTTTAGAATACAATGTAAATATTCCAAAATGGAACGTACCGTTTTTCAAATTTATAACATTTTAAATTCAAAAAATTTTTAACTGCGCATATTAAAAATAATAAATAAACAAAAATACAAAGTAAACAGCAAGTAATCACAAGGAATCCATGATTTAAGGGTTTTTAAGTCCCATTCTTATTTCTGTTATATAGGGGAGATCGGGGATAGTTGTCACAGTGCAAATATCGCCTATATAATCAAAACTGAATGGTCACGTCGTCTAAGAGTAGGTTCAGTTACCGCTCGTCTATGTCATTACAAAATGTGAATAATATCTGTTCCATTGTTTTCCGTAAATTAGCGGTTAAAAGATTTACAGCAAGTCGCGTAAACTTTGATGCATCATGTCCTGTGCCATTTAAAAACTTGCAATTAGTAAAAGGTGAATAACAACTGTATTTCCTATTAGATGGGTCCTTAATGTATATACACATTGCGAGCAATCGAATTTTCTATTTTGAAATTAGAAACTATGAACCGACTTGTTAAAGAAGTTCATTTGGGGCAACTTGTCACTAAGACTGACTCATCAGAAGAGAAAGAAAAGACCTTCTGTTTGGTTTTGGTGAGGGTTTGGTCTCACGAGCTATGTACAGATGTGTAAATCCATATTATGTTTGTCACAACTATGACACTGAAGATAATATGTAAAAATTCGAGTTACTGTACTTGTTTTTCACAGAATAAATAATAGTATATTAATAATCTATTTTCAATAAAAATTGGCACGAGTAAATGTCATATTACGCAAAATAAACTCGGGAAATATGAGAACTTAGACTACGCATACCTTGTGACAATAAACCCCTTATTCTGTGACAACATACGCCGTCTAGGAGTATGTTGTCACGGTACCATAGTTTTTAAAATAACTATGACAAAAAGTTATTGAACGTTCATATATTTATAAACCAAATCAAAAGATATGTAGGTGTATACATTTTCACTTAAACCTAAATAAATTGATATTATAGACCCTAAAATTAGAAATGACTAAAAGCTGTGACAACTAGCCCCGGTCTCTCCTATTTCCACGCTGTGGAAGTGTGTTAGCATCCCTATAGTTTAGGCACCCTTTATTTATTTTGCTTTCGTAAATTTCTACTTTTTTCATATCCAACTTAATGGATGGAAATTGCATTATTTTAATGACTTTCGCTTTCTCCCATTTTACAACTGCTCCTTCAATCTGTGCCATAATCACTAAGATTGTGTTGCTGTGCTGTTTCCTCAGACGTATTGCAAGGTTTCTTTGAGTCACACCCATATATTCTTTTGCAATTCCTAACTGTTAGTTTTCAAATGGTATTTTATATACACCATATTTCCTTGTTTTTATTCTGTCCTTATCATTTCGTAGTTAATTATAAATATTGGATGCTTTTTTATACATCATTCTCGAGTTTTTATAAGAAGTTAGTTCATTCACAACACTTCCCAATCGGTTATTATATGTGAATTTATTAATTATATCGAAGTTATTACATGTTTTATCTTTATTTTTATTTTTTTGTAACTTTTGATTAGACAGACTAACATGGCAGAATTGCTGATGAGTTTCAGTGAGTGTGAATTGTTTCGCTGTTAAAATAGTGTAAATTTGTAAAAATATTTGCAAGACAAAGTTCTTCCATCGTAATTTCACAATTTCTACGAAATTCCCGGACAAAATTAATAGTTCACCCGGACAGTGAGTCAATTCCCGGACTGTCCGGGTGAAAACAGAACGGGTGGTAACACTATTTGAGACGGTCCTGTAAGTTGGTACAATATAAAAAGGCTCTTCTGATGAATGCTTTAAATGCCGATAACTTATATCACACACACATATATATTTATATTTACAAGGTGCGATAATTAAATTCCAGGACGGGTAATAAAAGGACACAAAGAACATATAATGAAAAACCCTTTTAATATGTTTCAAAGTAATCCCCCTGGAGGGCAATGCACTTCTCGCAATGCTTGCATAAGTTCTTGAAACACTCGGTGAAGTCACTTCCGTTGATAGGTCTCAATTCCTTGGTCACTATGCGCTGTATGTCCTCTAGGTCGTCGAATCTTCGTCCCTTCAATGTGATTTTGATTTTCGGAATCCAGTAAAGAGGGATCATCATCAGCATCTTGAATGAACTGTTGACACGCTTCCAACCGGAGATGCTTTTGGTCCTCAGTGAGATAGTGCGGAACGAAGCGGGAGCAGATTTTTCTTTTGCCCAAATCTTCGGTGATGATTAAGCGAGTTGTCTCCAGACTGATACCAGTTGTCTCCGCTATCATCCGAATAGACATTCGATGGTCATATCGCAGCGCAGGCCGGATGGCCGAGCGTTCAAGGTGGTAGCCTACTGCTCTGGGGGATCCAGGAGCTAATCCAGACTGGTCAAAGAATCCCCAGGAATTTTTCAGGGGGTGGTCTGTTCGGAGATGTTGGACCCCGTCCCTCACTACCTGGTCGCCCCATTTTGGGCTTGGCCGAACCCATAATGGGCCTGCTTTAAGAGGCCCTCTTAGTGCCCACAGTGCGGAAAGAGTAAAAAAAAAAGTCATATCACAGCAAGTCTCTGATTTTTTCGATGTTTTCTGGTGTTCGAACTGATTCAGGTTGTCGTCAAAGTTTTCCCGACCATCCCTGAAACGCGCAAATCACTCGAAAACACGAGAGCGGGATAGGGCATCATTCCCATAAACTTGCTTGATGAGGGCATACATCTCTGTTGCACTTTTACCCAACTTGTAACAAAACTTAATGTTCGCTTTTTGTTCTGTGACAAAAACGTGATAGCACTTTCTCACAGCAATATGTGAATGGAGTACAGAAAAGCAACGAGTTACGAGACACGAACAAATCTTCGCAGACAAGTAGCCAGATGGTTGAACTATTATGACAAGTTTCTACATGCTGACACTACAGCTCTACACGACCAGTCCCGGAATTAAATTGTCACACCTTGTATATTCCATGGATTTGCAAATGAATTTTGGTTCAGGGTATCTCAAAATCAAAATATGAAGATTTGCAAAAAGTCTGGAGAGTCAAATTTGACACGATTCTAACACTTTCCCTTGTTGTGTATATAATAACAGCCGGGAAAGTACATAATGGTGTTCCACTTTCTCAAAACATAATGGTGTTCCACTTTCTCAAAAATGTTAAGAACTATCCAAGGGAGACGTTTTATTTTACTATGATTCAGTGAGGTATTGGGTGAATAGCGTGTTTACGGCCGTACTTAATTTTTTATTAATAAAGCATGCTAATTATTCAAGTAGTATGTCATATTGTGTATTCTGTGTAACTATCGATCCACATTTTAATTACCGATATCGATCGGTGATTAGTGTGGATCAATAGTTACACAGAATTTTTACTGAACATTATGACTCACATCAAACAACTAATTATTTTGCAATGAATTTAGCACAAAAAGAAGACCAAAACAGAAAGAAAGACAAAATTTCGTTGTTTATACTAAAAAGGGTAAAAAAGAAAAATCTCAAAATAAGAGATACACTAATACAATTGTCATATATGTTGTACGTGTTCGGATATAACATCGAAATATGGACAAGAAAAAAATGGTATAGATATTATTATGTCATCATAGTAAATGTTTTATTGTGGATTGCGGTGGTAAAAAGAGTGTTGTACTTGTTCTGGCAAAAGTATGCGATATTCCGTCAATGGATGGATATGTCTGGTTTTTGGGGAAAGAAAGGCTTTATCGTAACTTTTATGTTGACTAACTGGTGCATATTTGTAAGTTTAATAGTTACTGTCTTTAATTTTACAAACGCAGCAACAAATTTTGATGAAATCATTTTCATTCTGGACGAAACGAAAGAAGAAGGTTGGAATAATTTACAAGCAGAAGAGATAATTTATTATATTTATAAAAAATTATCAATCGGAGTGATATTTGTTGTGGTAATATCAAGTGTATTGTTTTCTGTAGTATATATGAAAGGAAAAATGCAACTTTCTTACCAATCACCCGCTTACTTAACTTCAAATAGTTTAAGAATCATATACACCCTCTGGTTTTCTTTCGAAAGTTCATATACCATCGGTTGTTTCTTGTGGTATGGTGTAATGTTGGTTTTAATAACAATCGTTATCACCTTAAGATATCAGGAAATTGTAAATCTTCTATCTTTAGCCACCAAAGACAAAAAGATATCAATTAGTTTCATTGATTTAAAATATGATAAATTACGCGAATGCATCCGCATCACAGATAAATTATTCGGAAGGCCAATGACTATACTGCACATTATATTGACAATAATGTATATAATAATAATATATATGTTACTCTTTTATGACGATATGGACTTAGAAAATATCTTTATTTTAGGAATTTTGCTTTCTGCCTGCGTAATTATAATTACAGTTAGTTTGTTTCTAGCATCTTTAATTACCCAATCAGTAAGTAAATCATAAATTATTTTTAATTAAGGATTTCAGGATATTCTCACAGATAATGTTACTGAAATTTAATACATATTACATGTATTCAGAAATTAATTAATGTAAGAATAAACAACGTAATATTTTATTTAAATTACTTTTAGGCATTTAAACCATATTACGAATTATGCAAAATTATTAGCTCTTCTCATACTTTTGAGGATCAAGTAAAGGTAATTAATTTTTTATTTTTATTTTTATGTCGATTTTAGATTTATATTTAGATTTTTGTTAAAGTAAAAATGGTTTAAAATATATTTTTTCGTTTCTTAGCTTTATCATCTTTTATCAATAATTAATAATGAAACTGTGGGTTTGAATTGGATGGGAATTTTCATTATTAGTAAGGGGTCAATTTTAAAGGTAAGAAGATGTTTTTAAAATTCATGAATTCATTTTTAAATTCTTATTTTGATTTACGAAAACATCCCACGCATAAAATGCATAAGATGGTTTTTATTCGATTTTTATTAACTTTTATTAGGCAAGAATGTATTGGGCTTGGTTTTATCAGACTTTTATTGAAATTTTACTCGGAAGAATATTTTTATAAATTTTGTTTCATCTACCTGTATATATTTAAAACGAATTTTTATTGATTAGGATAACTTACTTTATTAGGATATTTTGTAATAATTAATATTGTAAACTTGTTTATTGATAAATTAAAATTACAAAATAAGAATTTAATAAAATAGAATAATATAAAAAATAAAATTTTTAATTTTCCTAAAAAACAACAATTTTCTGTAAGTACTTAATATACTGTTTTAATAATCAAATATTAGTGATTTTTGGTATTCATAACGTTAAAATTTGTAGAAAATCATTTTATACATGATTTTCTCCTAATATTCATAAAATTTATATTATGCCTCTAATGTTTTTATTGTGTTTTAACAGTTAATATTAAAGCACAAAAAATATTAGAGACAGTGTCGGACTGGCAACAACTTTCGGTATGGGAATATGTACCAAATACAATAGGCTCATACTGTATATATACATGGGCGGATAGCCGAGGTGATTAACATCAACCTACGCTCTGGACGACCCGGATTCATCCTAGGTCCTCCAGAGAAAAATTCGGATCCGGATTCAAACCACTCCCGAAAAATTCTTGGGATATTTTCAAAAAACTCCAGATATTTTTCGGCGAGTGGTTTGTCCTTGATATGTTGAGCCCTCGTCACCTGGTCATCCCAATTATTGGTCTGAAAACGTTTTCACAGTGTCCTCAGGGTGGAGTCCAAAAACCTCATAAGATCATACAGCCTACGGCTCGAGTTGCGATCAGTCATGTTAGATTAAAAGTTACAAAATGTACATTGTGGGGTTGAATGTTAGTTCATATAAACCGTAACATGACAACTTATGACCTTAATTAGAATGACTTTTAAAAATTGAATACAATACACAGCGCTTTGGTTTTTATTACTTATTTTTTATTATTTATTTATATATATTTATTTTTTTCAAATGTAATATAACGTATATTAAAATAATGAACAACCATCGAGCGACTGGCACGTCGGAAAATTCCCGATTTTCCGGTGGGCCAGTCCACCATTGATTGATCAATAATTTAATTTTTACCGTAAAGAACGTATTTTAAAATAAAAGTATGCACCTCAAATACTACTCTCGCGATAATTAATCAATTAACGCGAAATACCACTACACGATTTTACGACTGACCGCAAGCTCCACTCATTACGGGTAAGGCTGACTCACAATGGAGCCGGTAGTACGAATGAAGAATAGAAAACGACATTCCCTTATTATGTGATAAATTATGGGGTTTTGAACCGGATTAGAACTTGTAACCATCATGTTCTTAATCTACCATTGAAACCATTACTCATAGATAGTTTAATAAATTGTTTTCATTTCAAAGAAATTAATTGTAAATTTTTAGATGTATTATCCCAAAAAATTATTTTAATTAAAAATTATATTTTATTTTGATTTAGGTAATAGGATTTTTGATATCAATTTATATATTTCTTCTTCAGTGGAAACAACTGATATCAAATAACAAACAATGTAATGAAAACTGTACTGAAACTTGTGGTTAAGTTATATTAAACATTGAAGTTTTTAATGAAAACANTGAAGAAAATTTCTGTGAGAAAGTTTACAATTTGTATATTATGAACCATTTGTTTGTCAAAATGCTTAAATTTATATTTAATCACTTCATCGAATAAAAATATGAAATATTTAATCACACCGGAGAAATTTAATTCTTGAAAGCGTTTTGTATAAATAAATTTTAATGTCATTTTGAAACTAAACATTTCTCCAAGCTGGAACATGAGGCGTATCTGCCATTTAATTTTATTATCCTTATTATTTAACGTAAGTATATATGAAATATTTATAAAAATGTCTGAACATTTTATTTTAAAATTAAAAAAATAAATCAATATTTATAAAAAGATGACAATATTTCCTAAAAGAGAAGTTTTAGCCAAGAGATGCTACAGAGATGATGAATGTGGAATTGGTCAATGTTGTATTAAAAGAAATTGTAGAGGATATGCACGCGAAGGTGAGTTTTTAGTATCGTTTTTAGAACGCGGCTATTGTTATTTTTAGAATAAAAATTCTCAGAACATTTTTCTCAATGAAAAAAGTAAGTAATCTTCCAAATGATAACGAATTTTCAGTATCATATTAACAATTGATCAAGATAATTCAATTAATCATGCTCATGATTGAACAATACAGTAATTGTAAAAGATTGATTAACTAATGAGATTGACCAGTGATTGAGCAATGGTTGGAAAATATTAATCAGTGATTGAACTATCGTGCTAAACTAACATATGTGTACGAATTTTAATTTAAACGTTTAAAGCCATCTTAACAAAGTATTCGATTGATACAATTCGAAAATTCGAACATGAGATATCTCAAATTGTTCATTTTATTTCATGCCACGATTTAAAAACATCGCAAATTGTACATATATAAAACATTGCAATAAAAATGAAGCAAGATAAATTATAACATTTATATTTATATTCGTAAACACAAAGACATTTCGATTGTCAAGTTCATAATTTAAGAATATTTCGTAATATTTGACTAATGATAGTGCACTAATAATTCACTAAAATAAACATTTTAAATGCAAGTTTACTTAAGTGAATGTAGTAGTAGCAGCTAACAATCATAAATTATATGGCTTATACATTTTATCGTTAATTGATTTTGTTGTTATAGATTTAAGAACGCTACATCAAATAAGTCATTAAAGAAGTATATAATTGTTTTATTTAAAAAAAAAACAATTTCACCTCTTTGATATAGTACAAAATTATTTTTTAGATGCACTATAATGTTCTAGAGATTCTATAATGGCGTTTATCAAATACAAGTCACGCAATAAAGTGTGATAGCCAGAGCCGTCGAGAGCTTGTATGGGACCCAGGAATGGAGCGGGGACTGTAGCCATTTTTTTGTGTGGTTTTTTTACCAAATGAAATACGTAGAATGTTTATTTATTAATAACAAGCAGTTTTAAAAATTTTATTACCTATTTAGTAGAATAACATTAATTTTATAGGAGTAGAAACCACATTCCTCCTCCCTCTCAACGACTCAGGTTATAGCCTATACTGTATCCATGAAAGGTATATTGATATTTACTTATAATAAGAAACTTGTATTCTTTTAAGTAATTAACATTTTGGCTATTAAGACATAAATCTTTTATTTTAAATTAGGTTTAAGAATAATAAAAAACTTTTTATTTTTAATGTATTTAATTTCCGTTCTTAGTTTTCTATACGAAGTAAAAAGTATAGTTAAAATTCGATTTATTATATTGGTTTTCAGCAAAGTACTTTCTTGTTTGGAGAGAAAAATTAAATAATGAAAAATTAATTTTATAAAAGTGGAACAAAATTAAGTTATGAAATTGTCATTTATAAATTATTTAAAATAATTTCAACTAAATAATTTAATTCTATAACTTTTAACATTTATTTTCTAAACCAAGTGAAAAAGCCACTGACTGACTATATGTACAGGAATGAGAGTTGCCGATTTTCTGGGGTCAATATCGCTGCTCCCAAATATCTATAGTAATGCTAAATATCTCATTCAAAAGATACTTGTTTTTTTTTAGGTAATGTGCAAAATTTTCAGGTTTTTCTATAAAGGGGTTGACGAATTATAAGCAACTGAAAACTGCAAAATCGTCAAAAAAGGCTGTATTTTCTTCCTTTCTTTATCCGGCACTATAGACGCTCCTAGAGAAAAATCTACTGAGTCTACAAAGCTCAAATTTTAATTTTAAGCCTCTCTCGTTATTAGTGAGTTGGTGAAATTTCCGGGTCGATAATTCAAAGTTCACAGGGTTCCTCATACAGCTATTTTACTTTTATCGCTTAATTTTTCCCTTAATTTTTTACGTAAAAAAGCAATTGCTATTCAAATAAAAATATCTGAGATATAAAAAATTATGCAATTTGGATGACAGTCAAATTTTTTCTTAGGAATTTTTCTTGAGAATTTTAGATTAAGAATATGATAAATATGGACGAATTTTCAGGCAGATTTAACATTATGCCTAAGTTATATGAGGAAAATAATTACCATTTAAAATAACAGACCATACAATGTAAGGCAAAACTGCTATAAGATAAACGATTTACGACAGTCTGACTTGCGATTTGCCATTATGATGATCTTCAAAAATTGTCAAAAAAAATTTTTTAAAGAATAAAAAAATCTAGCAATGAATTGCGTAACTTTCTTGGCTGTTATGAGATTTCATTTAAAAAATAACTTTTATTTATTTATTATTAACCATAATAAATAAATAAATTCGTGTGTTTGTGCGTGGCGCCATCTATTATGCAATTTTATTATAAAAACTGTATATTATTAATTATTACATAATAACAGTCTTAATTTTAAAGACAGAGATGGAATTTATAAAAAAAAAACAGAAACTGTAAATGGTAACTTACATACATACAAGAAAGACATCGACCGTACACTAAGTGTTTAGCCGGCAGAAAAGAGGGTAAGGGAAAGAGGGGAAGGAGGGAGAGGAGATAGACAGTAGAGAAATGGTAAGGAGTAAAATCTTCATTACGTCCGACCCCACTCGAGATATGGCTAGGGTTGCCACCTGTCCGGGTTTGACCCGGAGACTCCGGGATTGAGTGAGTTATCTCCGGGCTCCGGGGTTAATTAATATTTCTCCGGGTTGTGCAAGTTGAAATGAATATGTACAAAATTATATGCAAACCGTCGCATATATTTCTTCCCCCATGTACCAAATTACTAGTGTGGTAGTCGTTGGCATTAGGCGCAGTGCTGCTTTTTTTTTTTTTTTTTGCTTGTACGATTCATTCGTAATCGTATACACCTCCAATATCCAATAGAGCTAGGTCACTTGCGTTACTCCTATCCAAGTCTCCCCCTAGTCGCTAACTGTAACTGATTTAGAACCGGNCCTCTAGACCAGTGTTTCTCAACCTCTAATGAATCGTCGCCCCCTTCACTACAAAATTCCGATGCCGAGGGACAAGGCTAACGCCAAATTCGTACTGCATTGAATAGACTAGTGACTAGTATAATATTATTTGTCTAATTATTGTTCGATATAACGAATAAAATATCTAATTATTCTTAATATAATGTTTTACTATATCACCCAGAAAATTGTTTTTCGCCCCAAAATATAAATTGTTACTAATCGCCCCCTGAACATGGAAAAACGCCCATATGGGGGCGATATCGCCCCCGTTGAGAAACACTGCTCTAGACAGTAACAGGTGGTTGTTGATGTTAATTGGCTTTTTAGTTGTAATACATTGTAGCTATAAAAAATTTTATATTTTAAGCCTTTAAAACTCCCAAGAGTCCAATTTCTCATACTTTTATCGCTTAATTTTTCGCTTGTAACGATAAATTGCATTGAAACGAATGATTTTCATACAAAATCTTATTCAGAACAACAAAAGATCAAATTTATGCAAATTAAAACATTTTATAACGATTTTACTAATGGCGTATTGAATTCGGTCGGAGGCCGTTGCCGAACGCCAACCGAATCGTAACGTCGTCATCTTGGGTCTTGATGGAATAATACAATTATTAAACAAAAAAAAACCAGATATCCGAACGAAAACATCTGAGATGTAAAAAACTGACCAAGTAAAAACTTATGACAATTTAGACAACAGTCAAAATTTTTTCTTAGGTTTTTCTCCGGTAAAAATAAGGCTGGCGTTTCGAAGCAGTACCCATAAGATTTTTACCTGTATTGTTTTTTTTTACATTTCGCATCGAAGCGCCAAGCTTATCTTTACCACAGAAAAATTCCTAAGAAAAAATCTGTTATCCAAATTGTCGTAATTTTTTACTTGGCACTATTTTTTTTTTATCTGATGTTTTTGTTTGGGATATATATATATATATATATATCCCAAACAAAAACATCAGATAAAAAAAATTGTCGTAAAAAATTACGACAATTTATATATATTACGACAAATTACGACAATATATATATATCCCAAACAAAAACATCAGATAAAAAAAAATTGTCGTAATATATATAAATTGTCGTAAAAAATTACGACAATTTATATATATTACGACAAATTACGACAATATATATATATCCCAAACAAAAACATATATATATACAGTATATGGGAATGGGGCGGAATGGAAAAGACGATTTACATATGAAAGAGGTGAAGGAATTAGTTTGCTCCCTACAACACGTCAGTGTGACTAGAGATTCGCTTTGTCGTTGACTAATAAAACGTTGCGTCGTGATTTTTTGATGAAATTACAAGTGCATCAACATTAAAACAATGAAAGTATATGTTATATTTTATAATTTAACCAAATTTATATAGTCTAGTTTATTAAAGATTTGTTTGTTGTTTGTATTTTTAGAATAAAATAACGCGCAAAAAGTAATCATAAATGTTTTTCCTACTTGATTTTTTGAAGCATGTGCTTTGGAGCACAATTGGACGGTTTCCCATAAAGGAAAAGTAAAAGGAAAAAAAACAAAGTCTAATAAAAAAGAAGAACAAGGGGATGATTACTCGGAGATGATGATACGACTTGCCTTTACTGCCCCGAGGCTTACAGTCGATTGAGGGTTAATGTTCATGTGTCGCATGCAAAAATTGGACCAGTGTCTTGTGCGGGTTTTGACAGCGACTATGACGATTCCGTGTTGGTTTACGAGTTTTGTAAGCAACAAGGCTAATATTTTTTTTCTAATATTTGAGCAGTAATCTCATACCTCATTCTCCCCGGAGTGCGGGGCGGAACGGGATGTGGGCAAAGCTTTTTTTTTAATGATTTATTTCTCATACAAAATTGTTTTTTTTTTAATATAATTTAAATAATTATGTGCCAAATATAATAAATAAAAGATATAATGTAATATTTTTGTTATTTTTCTTTTATTGTTGACATAATTTTAACTTCTTCGTTATCTACCCCATTCCGCCCAGGTTCTTCTATATTGAACTTACCTTTAAAGATACCTTTCCCCGCTGCTTTTTATATTTTTCGTTGTATTTGGCCCACTTCCTCATAACTTTATAGCAGCTTAAGTACATCTGACTACCAATGGTAAATACAGTGTTCGAAAAGCCGCACACGTGTGTGTTAGAAATCAATTTTATTTTGTGAGGTTAGTATACGAAAATACAGAAGTTAGTAAAACAAAGTTTATAATCTGATCTTTATGAAAAACAAAATCAAACCATGTTATTACAACATATGTTCGAAATGGCCTCATTCACGAATGCAGGCGCCAGCTCTTATCATGTTTGATGCCACTTGTGATACCTGAATAATGATACTGGCAATCACCACTATAACGTTTCTCTTTCTTTAGATCAATATTTATTTAAACTATTACTAATGCAAAGAAAAAAATTGGCTAAGCTTGCTCCCTCTTAATAAGCCTTGAACAAGAATTTTTTAATAAAAAAAAAATGTCAAATTTAATTCATCTTGTTTGAAATCACATATCCAACTATGAATTTGTTCTTTGAAAATTGTACAAATCAATAATTATAACAGAAAATAAATTGTAACAAAATATTACTATTGCATTTTCATGGTAACAATTTACCATAATCACTGCATATTATTTTAAAAGCCCCACTACAACAATGCTACATAATAGTGCTGTTGTAGTAGTGTACAGTACATTTACTGTTATTTCAAACAAAATTATTGAATTATTACATCTTGTATGAAAAATATAAAATTAAAACTGCATGATTTAGTGAAAAATTAAAATGTTTTAAAAGATTAAGTAATTAGAAATATTGTATCATTTACAACTGTTCAAATAAAATTCTGTAACTTACACATCAGTGGACAACAATGAAACATTATTTGAAATGAAAAATTTTTAATCATTTATATTTATTTATACATTAAGAAAAATAAAAATTTATGGTTTTGTTTTTGATTGATTACATTAAATATTCATAGTTGCAATGACAAATTGGTTATTTTTTGTAAGAAAAATAACATTTGTATATAAAATAAATATCAAAAACTGATTTTTGTTGCTTCCAAACCATGTATATAATTTTGTACTTAGTTTTATAAACTTCAGAAATAATACTATAGACAAATAATATGTTTTAAAAACATTACATATGGATAGTGTGAAATTGAGAAAGACACTCATAATTATTTCTATGTATAGATTGAAAGAGAAAATGGTTGAAAATTGATGTAATGCAACCTTGATGTACCTAGTAAAATCCAGTTGAAAATTTCACCATCATTTGGCAAAATCATTACAATCACTTGACAAAAAGTTTCAAAATATTTTATGTAATACTAATAATAATAATAATAATTTATAATTAATATCAATTAATAAATAAATTTTTGATAAACAATTTTCCTCCTTTCCTTTAGCCATATATCATATCTAAGAATCCTACAAATTCTACACTATATACATGATTCAATTTTATATAACAACCTTTCTTTCATTCAGTAAAATTGAAAGTAAACTGAGAAAAAAAATGCATTTATTAATAAAAAATCACAACCAAGATTCCTATGATATTAATCCCTGAAAATGTGTAATTCATGGACAATTTTTTAAACAAATCATTACAATATAATAAGCACTCAATAAGTAATATCATAATTATCACATTCAATTTATAAAACACTCCAATGCTTTTACATACCTAATTAAATTCAATAAATTATTCTGAAACAAGATTTTTTCTAATTCAAGATGCTACGTTTTGATTGATTTATGTAATCATTTTTTTATTACTGTTTTATATTGATTATATAAAAATATATATGCAAAAATTGCAAAGGCATATTTATTGATGGCCAAATATATATATATATGTTTTTGAATGATTTTGAAGGCATATATTTATGTATTAATTTAAAAAATTTTGAATCTATTAATAATACACAATAATGTGTATTTATGTAAACAAAATTTTCAGAGATACTGTTTTATCCATAACATGCACTGAATATAAACATCTGCTTCTACATCCACTTTTGTTAAGGCATGACCATCATCATAAAAGATTAATCTGAAAAATAAAAAGAACTTACTAATTATGTATTTATATTTAAAAAAATTTAAGCCATTAAATTGTGAGCTTTTTTACCTCGTAGGTACTTGTCTAGCCTTAAGTATATTATAACATTTAATCCCTTGTGAAGGTGGAACTCTACGATCATTCTTTCCAATTATGAATAAAATTGGAATTTTCACCTAAATATATAATTAAGAAAGTGTAAAATAGTTTAATTTCACATATAATTTATTCAAATAAAAAAAAATTTGATAATTTAAGGATATGAATAAGCTATATTTTTCTTAATAATAAGATTTAAATAACAACATATTTTCTTATATAATTTTTCAATTAAACCCTTATTAATACATTTAATAGTTATTTATTATTTCATTCTTTCTGAAATCATATTTGAAAATCTATCACATCTCAAGCTTTCTTTTCTATACTTTTCAGTTTTTTCTTTAAAGTCTTCTTGAATTCTAACTTCCTTGCTTGAATTGCCTAAATTAGGAAGTTTGGAGATCAATTCCCAAATAAGTAATTTATATTTCTGCTTAATAAAGTAAAATCTGACAACAAAGACAAGATTTTGTAGTAAATTAACAAGTTCTAAAACAAAGCTGTCGAATATACTGCCTCAATTTAGTTAGAAAAACCACTATTTTCCACTAGTTAGGAAAACCTCTTATTTATATTCATAGTTTCATTGAAACAAATTTTAAATTACATGTTATGGATAAATGATTTGCCACTTTTTGTATATATGACAAAATATTTTGCTGACTTAAATTTGAAACTGTAGAGGAAATACCAAACTTGTTAATCAGTAATTTTAAAATATTCAAGTTATTTATTAAAAAGTTGAATCTGCTAAAAATTAATTTGTTAATAATGATTTGAAATGAATTTTTATCTACAAGTGAAAAGACAATAAATAAAAATTTATTTATTGAGAGTAAAAATATTCACTCTCACTAATATGGTAAATTTAAAAAATGAATCTGAAGAAAAATTGATCAATTTTTAAAATAATAAATTATTCATGAAAATTAGTATCGACCAATCACCATTATCAAAGATACACAAAATAATAAGAAATTGTTTTCAAATCTATTTATTAGATAATTTTCAGGATGTAATCAAGAAAACAGACAACAGAATTATAGAGAATCCACATTATAAATCTTATGGATAATGAGAATGCTAGAACATTGGATTTTGAGAGTCTTTATCATTGAACCTTAATATAAAATCTCTGAGAGTATTATATAACTACATGTCCCAAATACCCACAAATATCCTAACAAGATCAAAGAACTAGTTGCTTTGATTTATTATTCATTCTTCACGTTTGGTGACTATGCACACAAACAGAAAAGAGGAGTGCTCATGGACAGTCCATTTGCCAGGACACACTGCATATAAAAATTGGAAAAGTTTACTCTTCCCAGTTTTGCACAAGATTTTATATTACACAAAAGATACATTGATGCTATTCTGATTTTATAGAAAAATAATGATAATATTGAATGCTACATAGCCTCCTTGAATATCAATTATTTTGGTTTGAACCTCAAGCAAAAGGAAGACTAATAGCCTACTACTTCAATCCATTTTCTAGATATTACTAGTTATAAGGAATGGGCAAATATATACTAATATATTCACTAAACCCCAATTTCATGTTTTTTACATCTCAGCAAACTCTTTCAATCCACACCAGAACTGAAGATAAATACTCAGAATTAAAACTGATTCTTAATATAGCACACTCTCTTGGATATAAAAAAGAAACAATTATCTGATTCTCACCTTTAACTCATCTAACTTATATAAACCCCAAGAGACTTCAGTAGATTCACATACTCTGTATTCAGTAAAAATGACATCTATATATAAAGAATTAGATTCTATCCATAATCCAGGATCGTATGAGAGTAATTCAATAAGTAAGAGCAAATTTCAATTTATTGAGATGAACAGTACATCATATATACAGATCTGAATACACTCATCAAAAGTGAAATTGCAACACCTTGAAAAAATGCATGCAGCCATGTGCAATTGCAGCAATGGTAAAGGTGAAAGAGATAAGCAAATGATTAAAAGAACAAACAAAGATATGCAACATACACCTGTTTATTCAGTAATGAATATAGCCCACAGGCAGCTATATAAGCCACTATAAAGGTAAGACATACTATCAACAAGGCAATTAATGGTTGTCTGAGGTATCCCTTCCAAGTTGCATCCACTGCAGCACACATGTTGTTTACAGATGTGGTGGTGGTCCATGGTTGCACCAGATGTTTGATGGGAGAGAGATCTGGAGAGGCTGCCAGCCAGGGAAGAATGTGATTTCTGTTCAGACTGGTGAGAGTTTGGTGTGTGGTGAGAGTTTGCAGTCAGGCATCATTTTGTTGGAAAACTATGTCAGGTGCAGTCTGCACCAATGACCAAACCATAGGCCCCACAATTCATGTGATGTACTAGTCTCCTGTCAGACTACTGGAAATGTGTACCATGGCTGTCTGCTGATTAAACACAATGCCTCCCCAAACCATGATGCTCAACGTGGTTCTTGGCAAAACAGGCTGGTACATAGTGTTCCTTGGGATACTATCACATACGTCATTCCTCCACATACAGAAGAAGGATTCATTCATAAATAATGTCCAATGCCATTCAGTGATCCAGTTGCAATGACAATGACACCCTGCCAGGCATGGAGCCCTATGTCAAGTAGTTAATGGCACCTCTGTTGCTGGTTGCCATGAGTGCAGCCTGACTTCATGCAACCTGTTGCAAATGGTTTGGGTGGACATAGATGTACAGTAGCTGTTGACGGCAATAGGTAGCTTCAGATGTCATGTGCCATAACAAATGGGTTTCAACGGGTCATTCAGCAAATCTGCTAATCTGTATACACTGTTGTGTACCACTACAATCCACCCCCTCTTCAGCATGTTTGCAGATATTCCTGCATTCATCCAGTCACACATCACTGGATGGTACTCATATCATGTCCAATATGCATGGCAAGCACACACATTGACAAACCAAGGCTGTGCAGCTCCAGGATTCAGTCTCATTCCCCAGCCATTAACTAGTGGTATTCAGCTTGCTGTCATCTTCAAGGCACTTTCTATGCTTCTTTGAAAGTTCAGCTGCCATGGCTCAGGCTGATGGCATTTATAGCCTGAGCCAGCTGCTGACCTTTATAGCCTGAAATTGGGTACCATATGACCTGATGTGTACACAAACTTAATCATTTGCATATCTCTGTCACCTCTACGAGTCCTACAATTTGCAGGTAACTATAAGCATTCCTTCATGGTGTCGCAATGTCACTCTTGAGGAGTGTAAGATGAAATTTTTTCATAAGTCACTTCAATGCAGTTTTTGCATCTTTTAACAAGCTTCTGTATTCCAGTAAAAAAGTTTTTGATTATTATTGAAGCCAGAAATGCACCATCTTCTTCACCTCATCACTAGTGTAAAATTCTAATCCCTACAACAAAATATTTGTTGTTTTTATAATTGTTTGTCCCTTTTTACAGTTTGCCCAATATATATGTATATAGTAATATATTGCTGGAAAGTGAATTTTTGTATGCTGATCATCAAATGAAAAATCATAATGCTGACCTTTCAAAACTGAATGGTAACAGTTCATAGAATGGAACATTCCATTCCATAACTGTTTAAAGAGCAAAATATATATGTTGTTTTCTTTCAGCTTATTACTTGTTCTTTTCAGCATTTAATTTATTTAGCTAGTTTTCTTCATTAATAAATGCTAATATTCTACTTGTGACACTAATTTGATACACTAAATAATATTTATTTTTATTTTAATTATTTAAGTAAATTTTAAGTGTTTATTTATTGATTATATTCTACTTTTATATTTCTATATATGTAAACTCACATTTTCTATATATCTTATAGGAGATTTTTCCCACATTATTTTTAGAATATCTGGACTTGCAATTCCATCAAAATTGAATTCCTTAAAACCACATTCAATCCATCCCCTAAATAAATTGGAAACAATATGTATTTTAGTATTTGCATATTAATAGAAAACCGGTTAACGTAATCTTATAAAACAAAAGGAGGTATTCAAAAACATTATTTAAATAATGTTTTTGAGTACAACAGCATTTGAAAATAATATTGCACAGCTAGTTTTATTTTTACTCTTAATAAATTTGTGCAATTTTTGTTAACATTTGTAGTAAATAATATTTCTTTGTTTGTAATAAGAAATAGCAACAACATTTATTATATTTAAATTTTATTATAAATGTATATAAAAACACATAAAACTAATAAATATTTATACAAACTTATATTTACTTGAAAAATTATGTGACAAAATAATGCACAATCTGAATAATAAATAAGTAAACAGATTACACATACAAAGTAGTGATGTAACGAATATTCGATTACTATTCGGTATTCGGCGTATTTTTCGCTATTCGGCTGAATACTGAATATTAATCACTATTCGGCCGAATACCGAATACCTAAAAACAGGAGTAAGAAATAACAAAAACACAGTAAATTAATCATTTTGGTATTTAGATTTAATGTTGTGGGGTTAGTGTTGTTTGTTTATATTTATTTATAACTTGTAACATGCACAAAATAAAAAAGAAAATAATAATATTAGTCACATGTATCCACAATTTATAATTACAAAGATCAGCACACGTACACATGTATTCGTTCGAGAATCATCGCACACATGTGATGGTCTGACACTGCCTATCCTTTTTAATCACTCGTCTTTGCTCTTTCCTTTCTCTTTCCTGAATCTCTCTAGTCGACGTATGACTATGCATACATCATAATATGCACTCACGATACTTTCGATTCGTCACTTTTCCGTCGTAGTTTTTCCATTTTATAATTAGTGGCTCATAGCTTGGTGATAACGGAGAAAAGAGACAGTTTGGATGTTGGTATATGTCACAGTTATGATTTCACAGATTCCAGACAGCTCGGTAGCCCAAACGGTCCCAGGCTTTTGCCTGTGCACGCTAAATGACTTTCATTACAAGCATTTAGCTTTCCAAAGTCTATGACAACAATTGTTTGGCATTGACGGCCGCAAATTTTGCGCCAGTAAGCTGCTTCGACTCGTTCGATTATGTTATCAACTGAACTTCATATTTATTTTCACATTTTCACTTCGCGGTCCTTCTCTGTTCTTTTTCCGTTATTTACACGTGTAGGTCATTTCGTTGTTATTCACATTTGATATCATCATTTATCGCATACTGCCATGACGCTATTGTCTGCCAACTGTTAAGAATTAACGCTATTAGCGAAGCATAGGGGTGACAGCGGGGGGGGGGTCCTTGTCATGAGGTTTGTGCGCCAATTTTCGTATGTGCGTTAATCAAGCCGAATAGTTTGCACGAATATTCGTCCACTCTCCTGGCCAAATATTCGGTATTTGGCCTGAGACTGAATATACTATTCGTTACAACACTAATACAAAGTGATTATAAATCATTACAAATATAACAAATGATTATTAACATATTTAAAACATCTGATTCTTGGATAATAGCAAATGTAATTTAATGAAACATATCATCATCAGCAGCTTATGATAAAAACTGTGGAACTGCAGCACTCCCACAAAAAATAAAATCACAAAATAATCTCTGTTTTTATTACATAGTAAGTATATAAATTATTATACATGATTAAAATTAACTTTTTAAAATGCCAATGATGATAAAAACGGTGCACAAAATAAGAACAATTCTTATAAAGATGGTTGCTTGTCATGTATCCTTCTGCAACAACATTGTTAGGCCAAATTTTGATTATGCTGGTGTTTTGTGTTAAAATGTATTATGACATGTCATCATATCATATCATGACTGCAGATTTAAAAACATTGCTCATATTGTTTTATTGCATCAGTATAGTTGTCATCAGACTCCAACAAGTTAGTATTATTCTTGAGTGCATGCTTGAATGTATGTTTGATTTTGCAAAAAACTATATGCTTGAGAAAATGGAAATTATCCAACTACTGAATGAACTTGATGAAGAGGATGAGATTTTGATTGCAACAGTTGCAATATTAGTACAACATAAAAAAGAAACTAGTTGCATTCAATACTTGCTGACAAATCAGTATTTGGTGAATTACATCACTTAGAGCAAAACATAAAAATCAAGAGTGATACTTAAAATGCTTCTGATGGCTGATAAAAATCTAAACAGTTCAAACTTCATGTTAACATGTAACATGTATCTGATGCCCTCTGTCATCAGATGACACATCAACATAATGTGAATACTCTGACAAAGATGGATGACTTGGTTTAATCTTTAACATGTCATAAAATGCAATAATGCATGTTAACACAAAACATCAGTATAATCTGAATGCAACCTTAAACAGTGCAGTTCCATCCCCCATTCATTTGTCAGAGAACAGTCCCAATCATTCAGCCACTCATCTCACCATATGATAAAATGCCTGAGATTGCACTGCAGTGTTTAGAACATTGTCACAAGAGTACACAATAGAAATTTGTTACTGGGTCAGAGAAGAAATGCAAATACCATAACCTGTAAATGTTAATATAAAAAAATAACTCAAAAATCATCATTTTTGAGTTATTCATACCAGTGAAATGGACTTTGAATGTACCAGTACTTCTAACTGCAAGAATATCATATTATATTAAGAGACAGAATAAAATACCACTAAAGCACAGTATTTCAAAATTTTTTCACAGAGATGAATCAAAACTATAACTTCAAATGATTCATGTGAAAAATCACCATTTTGGAGTTACAACTTTATTGCATTTACTGAGCAATTGCTAGTATTATGTTCTGGTTATCAATACTTTATTACGCTATCTGCCAGTACTGGTATACTGATGCATTTCAGCTGAAAAATAGTCCTGATAATAATAAAAATAACTTTATAAATTTTTAATGTGCAGTATATTTTCTAAATATATTTTAAATTAAGAGAAGTTCAAATTACCATACAAACTGAAAAATATTTAATCCTTGCTAAATTCAGTTCTGCTTACATGTAAAAATAACTTTAATGAGCAATTATTTATTGTGACATCTTCACAATGCTGGGCTGCAATTTTTAATCATATTTTTAATAGTCTTTTAATTTAAAATATATGCTCTCCATCTCAAATTAGTATTTCCACCTTGCTCCTATATATCATACTTTTCTGTTAGCAATAAAGTCATGTTGGTCATCTAACTCCTTTCAGGGGAAAATTTTTGAATTGAAATAAGATGATTTCTAGTGCAAACTGGAAATTTGTATATAGTTAATTGGGGGACTCATGTTTCTAATCTTTTCATTTCTGATCTTGGCTTTCATCTATATAACTCCGTTCTTGAGATTACGAAAAGACAGACAGATGGACAACAGTGGGAATTTATAGGTCTACAATTTTTTCAAACTGCAGCCCAATGACTAATTATTTTAATAGATTCATTTATATTCTATTTATTATATTTAAGATTGATTCATTTGTTAACAACAGTTGTCAAATACATTAAGATTATAATACAGGGGGAGTCAGAAAAGTGGCTAATATATGATCTCATGGAGTGCAGACACTATTTGATTTACTAGGAATGGGATAGTGGCATTTACAAGCCAAGTGTTCAAAGCAATATTAAAATCATGTTTCATCAGTCTCACAGTCGGCCAGTTGTTTTTGTAATTGCTCATGCTGCAACTGTGATTTGTTGCTGTACATTCACTGTCATCTTAGATACCGACATAGGCAATGTTGATGCAACTCATGCACATAACTTCTTCTTGGAAAAGAACTCCAAAAAGACTTCTTCAAATATCATTCATTAGTTCCCAGTAAATCATATAGTGTCAGCACACCATAAAATCAAACCTGTATGAAGTCACAATTTCCATTCATTCAGATAGGTAAAATGGTATCAATCACTATGAGTGAAGGATGGGAAAACTGATTTGATCCATATTGCTGATGACAAATTTTGGAGTTTGACAAGATTTGGTCCAGAAACAACTACATGTTGTTAGGCAGACACAATCACCTTGTGGTTGTCTGGCCAATTAAATTTAAGTTTTACTGAATTATTTATAGTCAGTATAGTTGGGCAGATGTCCATAAGGTAATTTGTTAGTATATTCAATAAATATTTACTAATTCAGACAATTTTTGTAAATAAAAATTAATTTTAAAAAATCCAGACAAATCCTTTATTCTAATCAATTCTTGTTTAATAACCAATTTTTCATGATCAAAAGTAAAATTTATTGATTAAATATATTTAACTTTTTCCCCTAAAGTGGGTACTTTATGGCTTTTCTTTGGCTTATCAGAGTTACTAACATCACTGCCATTGCATTTTGGAACCATGTTTGCAAAGTAATTAACATAAATGAAACAAAGAGAACTCTGGACAAAGACTGATTGCTGGTTCTAATGTTTAGAGCCAAGAAAGAAATGAGTCATAACAACACTTTCCCAAAATGAAAATGAGTATGAATGAGGAAGATGTTGCAAGAACTCGTACATTTTAAAAAATGATCCGGATTTAGTATGAAGTTAAGAATTTTTATTTTATATATTTTCCATTTCTTTCCCCCAGATTTCCAATAATATATGTCTCAAATGACATGTAGTTATTACAATCTTATTACAACACCTGACCATTTGCTGAGAGAATTCTTTAATAACAAACATTTTCAGCCTACTACCATAAACCATCATCAGGTTTTTAAATCAATTTTAGAAAGTGTTTTACAAAGAGAACACTCCATTTAAATTTTAACTTAAAATCCATATTTAGAATACTTCAAAAGTTACATGAATTAAATAAATAAATTATGAAAAATATAAGGTTAATAACAAATAAAGTTAAGAAAAATACAAAATAAAAATTAAGAAAGTATAACATAAAAGTAAAGCCAAATATAATTGTAGGTAAGGTGACCTACTTTTTTACAATGAAAAGGAGGACACTAATAAATTCAAGGAAAAAATATCGTAAATATGAAACATTTTATTCATTGCAACAATAATACACTATAATAATCTCTACTGCATGACTAGGTGCCATGTCGTGTTTCAATAAGAAGTAAACAAAGCCATTTGCGCTCTCTCTCTCTCAAGATCTCCTGTGCAAAGAGCATGTGTCTCATAATTGCATCTTGTTGCACTGTACAGAGCCTTGATGAATCATCATGTTAAAATACAAACATGACATATCACATCACATGCAATGGATTGGTTCGGCATTGATTGAATACAGAGATTTACAGATTAGTCTTCAAATATTGAAAAGGAGGACATGTAGGAGGACACTTTTCAAGGGAGGACAGAACTTAAAAATAGAGGACAATGGTCACCTTATTGTAGGGGAACTTATAACTCAGGATTTTTAAGATATATTTCCAAGCCAAAGGTTTTGCATTTCATTCCTAGCATTTAGGCACTATTCTTTGATCTTACTCTTGTATATCTTTATTTTTCCCATACCAATGGTTGGAAAACATACTGTTTTAATAATATTTGCTTCATCCCACTTTATAACCAAGCCTTCTACAGTGTCACTAAAACTATATTACTATAGCTTTTTTCCACAGTGTACTTGTGTTCCTTGAGTTGCATAATGAGGTTTCTTTTTGTAATTCCAACATAATGTTTTTTGACCCCTAACTGTTGATTTTTATAGAGTATTTTGTATACTCCAGATTGTTCTTTCCTTAGTTTGTCTTTATCAGGTGATGAGTCTGTATATGGTGAGGTCTTACTGTAATTTTAAATTAAAAAATATTCTGAACCCTTTATTTTTGTAAATTATGCAAGGCGTATATTTTTATTTTTTATAATATAATGAACATAAAATAAATGAAGTAAACTTACCGGCAATATCGACTACTGGATTCCTACAAATACCCAGTTTATAGAAATCCTAGTTTTATTAAAAATTTATATTAAATATAAATAATGAAAATTTGATTATTGTAATTTCAAACAAATAGTATTATAAAAAACACTTACTGGATATTGGCCACTAAGATGAACAGTAAGAAAACCTCCATGAGATCCACCAAATAATATTAATTTATTTTTATCTATATTTTCTGTTTCTAGTAATTTCTCTACAGCATACTAATTAAAAACAGAAAAATATATAAGTAGAAATTACTAATTGTATGTTTAATGATAAAAATAAAGCAAAACAAAAACATTTGATTTAAATTAAAATTACATTACAAATAAATTATAATCAATTTTTAATGAATTATACTAAAAACGAAAATAAAATTTTAAAGTGATCACATTAAAAATCCATACATAAAGTTTGAAGTGCTGTAGCACTAGAGTGTTTAGACATAACCATTAAAAAGTTGGCAAGTGAAGATAATGTGCATTTGCTCATTTGTATAAGAAATTTAATGTTCACAAGTTGTGATGTGTTCGTGGCATGCAAGTTCAACAATAAACAACATCAAATTGAGAGCTCAGATTTACAATAACAGCATGAGTGTTCTAGTACACCAGATTTCCAGTGTTGTGAAACATTTCAGAATTGGATGTCAAATTGTTATGTAGTGAATGGACTGAAGAGTGACTAAACAATGCATATAACTCTAGGATTCTACAGAATTATTAAAAAGATTTCCACAAATGCAACATGTCACTATAAAAAGCTTGAGTTCAAAAGTCTATGTGGCTCATCATCTATGTTTGTTCAACCTTCCTTGAACTTTTGAACCCACTTGCAAGCTATTTAGTGATATGTGTGGGATGCCAGACATATGAAGAGGTCGTACCTATTTTTGTTGGCAACAGTTGAGTGAAAAGTGTTTACTTTTACTATCCTGAAGGGTTGGGATTCTTTTTGTCAGGTCAAGTGGAGGAGGAGAAAGGGGTCGTCGATCAGACGTCAGCAATATCTGAATAAAGAATACCATTAACAATCAAAAACAGAAAATTTATTGGATAACAATCGGACATTCACAATATCCACATTGACTGACTATCGAGATTTTCTAACTGAATACAAGAAAGGGGCCAAGAGAGAGTTTATACATTTGCTCTCATACCTCTTGATTATTCCCACGAGGGTTTGAATGTCCGAGCTGGAGGCACAGAGTTCCAAGAATCGCAACTCAACATCAACTAAGTAAAAATTCCGACAATAGCTCATCAGTAGGGTCCGGCTTCTACTCGTCTGCCGTTAGTGAGAGACTCCCCTTGAAAGGAGGGGGAAGAAGTGGCTTTTATTGCTTTGAGGTGGGAAAATATGTCATGTGAAGTTCTATTGTAGAAGGTAAAGATTATTGGAGCTGGTGTGGAGGCTAAAGGTGTTCCTGTGGAGGCTAAAAGTGACGAATTTGGACTTTAATTGTAAACTTATCTTGCAATACTAGCTTTATGATGTTTATGACGAGAGAATGTTGACATTTTTGGAGGAGGGTTGTTTATTTTCCCAGTGAAATGTTTTTTCTCAAATTCCTTAGACCAATGGTTCCCAATTAGTGGTACTCGTATCCCTAGGGGTACATGAAATTGCACGAAGGGGTACGTGCGGCAATCTAAAATCGGTCGATTTAAAATTTAAATGCATGTACGTGATGAAGCAATAAAAAAAATAATGGGTGGACCATAAAAAATTCGGCAATTTACAACATGATGTCAAATGCACAAATTCATTTATTTGTAACTAAAAATATTCTCGAAATTTCATTAAAAAATGCATTTGTGACAATACCTAAATGAAATTCTTAGGCAAGAAACAAAAATGGTACAATTAACACAATTTGTGTTAATTGTACATTTATCATTATTATCATGTCAGCAAAGCAGCAATAAAATATTTACTACCATTTTGCACAACATACCTCTGCGAGAGCGGATTTTCGGCCATGACAAACATGAAAACTAAACATCATCACCGACTTCAACTCGAAGATGACTTGAGACTGAAGCCGACTAAAAAGCAACCACATTTTACAAAGTTGTGCAAAGAAAATCATGCACATTTGTCACATTAAAATTAAATAACCTTATGTTATTTTCATTATTATTAGAATTGTATTTTAAAGGTAATAAATGTAAAAAAAACTTATTCTATTTATCACTTTCTGTCTATCCACAGCTTCGTCTGCATTATATCAAATTTTCTCATGGGAGTAAGATATTTTCTAGCAGTAAAATATAGCCTATGTCCATCTCCAACATGTAAGCTATCTCTGTGCCAAATTTTATTAAAACCTGTTCAGCAGTTTAGACATGAAAAAGGTGACAGACAGACAGAATTACCTTCGAATTTATAATATTAGGATGGATTAATATGAATTTCTGCTATAAGTGGTATGCAAGTTTGAGCTCTTTCTTGAAGTGGTACACAGGAAAAACTAATTGGGAACTACTGCCTTAGATGAAAGAAGGGGAAATAATTAGGAAAAAATATCCTCAAAAATTCTGGATCTCACATTCACATGACACATTATATTGTGCATATATCCTGTGACCAATATCTCAGTTTTGACTCTCTCCAACCTATGGGTACCAAGAGCTTTTTCTTCCTACCCATTATGGGTTTGGCCATGCTCACAGTGGGAGGTGACAAGATGGCGAGGAATGGAACCCAATATATTCTGAACAGATCATCCACAAAAAATTCCAACCAGATTTGAATTCAGGTCTCCTAGAGTATAGACTGATGCCTTAAATGCCTCAGCCATCTGGCCTCTATTATATTTTCTTAGAAATTAATAGAACAATATTGAATTAACAATTTCCAAATGTTGAATAGTCACTAACATTTGTTTAACAACAATGACAAAAATACAAAGATAATGTATAATAAACATTTTAAAAATACAGATAAAGAAAAAAAACATTGAGTATATTGATTGTTTGATTGTAGATTAATTTGAAATATTAAAATTTTGCAGTATTCAAGAAATATTAAAGAATTTGATTTTATAATTTAAAGGAAAAGAAATTATTTTAAAATAATTTATAATTTTTTAAAGGAAATATTTTCTAACTTTCCTGATTTTTATAAAGGCATATATAAATACAAGCATTGAATAAAATCAAGATTTGATTATTTAATTTGAATGTATATATCAAAATATCAATATTATGTATATATTATTTTTCTAACATTAACATTCATCTAACATGTGTAAATTCCATAAAAAGTTCTATATAAAATCAATAATTACTTTTGTTTATTATTATTATTATTCTTTTTAATTAAAAATGTATTATTATTATTACTTTCTCATAGATTTTGATTTTAATATATTACATAACTTCTACTCCAAGCATTACAATACACAAAACACTACTGAAGAACTCACATCAGTAAAAATAGGATCCAAGTACTTTTGAGTTTTCTGGCTCATCTTCAGGGGATCCCAATTAGTAAACATTGTATATTTGAATTTCCAAAACATACAGAAGCTTGGAACATTTTAAATGTTTCAAGCTTCTGTAAATTCCAAGCTTATAGGCAGAAATATGAAGATTGCCAGCCAGTGCAAATTTCTAGTGTTGTAATAGATAGAATGGCATAACCAAGATATATCTCTAAAGAGAAAGTTAGTATAATTAAAATTTGATAGAAGCTTGAAAGGTTTTCAAATTTGGAGTTCCAAACTATTTTTTATGTGATATTTAGGGATTGGACATTCTTGACAATGAACCAGACAGTTTGAAAGTATTTTTGTTTTGTTATTTTTACTGATGTAAATAAGTTCTCCAATAATGCACTGCTTTATGGATCACAAAATAGTAAGAAATAGTAACAAATATGTTTTTAATAGAAATAAATTTTTTCACCATGAATTAATAAAGAAAGATCTTTTCTTGAGTTAAATTCAAAGAATTTGTTGACTTTTAAACATAAAAAATATATCTAAATTAACAGAAATATATTTTGAATAAAATAAAATTATTGTAACATGTTAATTAATATATAAGAAATAAATTGAAATACATCTTAAATACCTGAACATCTTGGACATCTTGAGATCCAATATTTCCTAATAAAGAATAAATACTATTTTCTCCATAACCTACTGAGCCTCTATAATTAACTGAAATAGTAAATATAAATTTATATTTTCCTTTTATTTTTATTCAAACATAGAATAAAAAATAATATAAAATTACTTTGTAAGACATAAAATCCACATCTTGAGAAAAGTAGACTATATAAATGAAATCCGACCGTAAATGCAGAATGTGGTCCTCCTAAACATAAAGTGTAAGTATATTATTGTATTTATAAGTAATGAATATTCATAATTTTTTAACTTATTTTTACAATAATTTTAAATTAATTATATTTCATTTTAGAATACAAAAAATTATATTAAAATATATTCTATAACAAACACAATTAATAAATGCATTTTAATGTTCTGATGTTATAAACAGCATAAACATTAAAAATAACATTATTTATTACAATCAGACACTAAATAATACTTTTACATTAAAACATAAATTTTCAAATATTACTTTTACGTTCTGTAAATTTTAAATAAAATAAGGAAAATTTCAGTTTCAACTTCAAAATTTAAATTTTCTCATATATAATTTATATATTTAATACATAAATACTTTAATATAAACAATTTACACATTTTAATACTCCATTTAAAAAATTAAATAAACTCATAATTTGACTTTTCCGAATGGAAAAAGTATATTAAAAACTAGCCGGAATTTTTAGGAGGGTTTAAGTTAAATCTTTGATAATATGAGCCAACAATAGAGTTAGGAATAAACAAATCAAATATAATATAATTAAGAGATATATTTATTATGAAAAGATAAATAATATTATTACAAATGAGTCAAATGCTAATTATACAAAAATATTATATCAAAGAAATAAACCTCAAAACGTAAATGATTCTAAAAGGAAATAAGATGAATGACAATCCATTATCTAGTTCCTTTCTAAGAGAGAGTCTACAATAAATTCACATTATCTGTAATATATATACACTTGATGTGGAGTGTTGAAATTCTTCAATTGAGGCACAAGTTTAAATTCTTCTCAAATCTTGTCTTATCTCAGGAATTCCCTAAGTGTGTGCTGCAGTGCCCCAGGGTGACGTAAAGAGTAAACGGGTGTGCAGTGAGGGCTTTGAAGCTAACGGAACTTTCTATCTAGACTAAATCATTCCCGTAGTTTGTAGAACTTTCTAGAAGACTTATATAGCATACTATTGGATATTGTTGAAGTTTTGAGAAAGTTCTAAGTAGGTGGTGCTGCTAGTATAAATATGGCATTACTTTGGCAAACCAGTTCAGTTCCTAAATAACAATCAAAGAGTAAACATCTGAGAAGAAAAGTAAATGGTTTTAAGATGCCCTCTACTGCTACCAGAGGAGCGTCTGCTTTGTTTCAGTGTGTTGCTTTGTATATTCATATAGTTGCAGGAAAATGGAAAAATTTTTATAAAATAGGCAAGTCGACAGTTTAAACGAGAGTGATCAAGCATTGACAAGTGATGGGGTAGCAAAGAAACAGAAATATTGTAAATACGATGATAACTATTTGAATTTTGGCTTTACTTCAGTAGAAGTAAACAATGAAGAGAGACTGCAGTGTGTGCTCTGTTTAAAAGTTCTAGCACCCGAGTGTATGCTCCTAAGTAAACTAAAGCTACATCTCGAGACCAATCACTCTAACATGGTTAAAAAATCTTGCAAATTCTTTAGTAAAAAGTTGCAAGATTTACAAAAGGAAAAAAGTGTGTTTACTAAACAAGTATCAATACTAAGCAACACACTGCTAGCATCTTTTAAGGTCGTATACAGAATGGCAAAGTGCAAAAAACCTTACAGATCGCAGAAGAGCTTATTATACCAGCTGCTCTTGATATAGTTAATATTATGATGGGAGAATCGGTGGGAAGATTAATTACAAAGGTACCTTTGTGAAACAACACTATTACTCAAAGAATCCATCATATAGCTCTGGATTTCAATGTCCAATTAATAGAGAAAATAAAAGGCAGAGAATTTGGTCTGCAACTTGATGAGGCTACTGACAGTAACAAAGATGCACACCTTATTTATTATGTACACTTCCTGGATGATAATATTATCATTGAAGATCTCCTGTTCTGAAAAAGCATCATTGCAAGTTCAAGACTTATTTGAGATGCTTGACAAGTTTATAAGCGAAAATGATTTGGATTGGGAAAAGTGCATTGGTATATGTACTGATGAAGATCGATCAATGTCTGGTCACTATGGAGGATTGCAGGCACTTATTCTCAGAAAAGCACTGCATGCTATGTGGACCCATTGTATCATCCATAGAGAAGCACTTGCATCAAAGTTGATGAGCTCTCAATTGAATTTGGTATTAGAATGTGTCGTAGATGTAGTAAACTATATAAANGTACGGGAACTTCTTAATTTCACTTCGGTTCATGACTTTGGTTTTATTCAAGTTCAGTTCCACACGACCGGATATATGTCACTCTAATCTAAGTTAGACTTGGAAATTTTTTTGTTCAACAATAAATATGAATTGTTCTTCATGGAAAAAATAAGACATCCTTTGAAAATAAGACCTAGTGCATCTTTGATAGCAAAAATTAATATAAGACACTGTCTTATTTTCCGGGAAACACGGTATCTGTTCTGATTTCCCCCTTCTTTGCAAGTTATAGATAAATCCAAAAAATTAACATTGCTTCCACTTTCTTGCTCCAGCTTCAGAGTTAATCCATATGGGTTGTCGTTGATCAGATCTATAAACATAGACTCTATGGTACTTGCTGCCTTTGCCAAGCAACAGAATATCAAGGTGTTTTGGGATCGGGCGTCGATCATCAAGGCTACAAGATCCAGGCAGGCCATGAAACATCTGGAAAAAGTAGAAATTCACAGGTGCAGTTGCACACAAACTGCATTAATCATCGGGATGCTGACGGATTGTCATCAGCATGGAAATCCTTCTATGATGAGTTGATGTAGTTTATGTAAGCGGGAAGATTAATTAAAATAATTTTTTACTGAATGTATATATTTTATTTTATTTCTTTATTTTGTTTTAATTATCTTGTATAATTTTTGCAATTATTTAAGCTTGGTAAATGTTAACATATATTTATGTATCCGCTTTTTGAATTTTTGTTTTACGTAATTTTGAATTGTTCATTCGATTCAGAATGATAACTGAGGATGATCGTTTAAAGTGTTCGAAAGTGTTTTTAAGATATTAAAAAGCGATTTGCTGGATTGTTTAAAGGTTTTGATTTTTATTAATAAAAACAAAACAATACATGATATAAAATTAAAAAATGTAATTACAAATAAGATTTTTTTGACAAAACTATAGAAAAAAGTTACAAACATACTTGAAAACAGTAAAACGACCTACTAACCAAATAGATAAACCAACTTCTCACCATAGTATGAATCTAATGCCAACTATCAGCAACCTGACACATTAACTCTACTTGAGAGCATAGCTCAAGTACCAAGGATCAAGATATCTATCAACTCTGGTAATAGCAAACAAACAGATAGTAATTATTTAGCCTTAATAGCCTTGATAAAGGAGTCAAAATAATTTGGCAGGAGGTAGTCAGACTGGAATCTTTTCTTAAATATAATAATTGTAAAAAATTTAATAAATCAAACTGAGTTGGATATATTTGTGTAAAAGGTCTTTAGGGGTACGAATAAAAGAGCATAAGCTGGATGTACTACACAATAAATGCACAACAGCACTTTTGACTTATGCAACAGATCCTGATATCACAGCCGAGTTTGACAGAGTGCATATAATTCTCACCACCCCGCATCAAGATCACCTCAGAGTATTAGAAGCAATAGAAATATATAAAGCCATATGTGAATCCACAAGCATTAATTTTAAGGAAGAAATGTCACTTTCTATGGCATGGCAGGTCCTAATGGACGATAATATTTAAATTAATTTTATTTATTGTATTTTATTCATGTTTATAATCTTTTGAATTATAAACGGTTAGCATTTCAAATCCCTTGGAAGCTCATGATGTTTGAATAAATTTGGAATGTGTGCACATTAGGAATACAAATTCGAATGCCTCTCTAAAGAACTTCAAAAGTTTAAAAAACCAGCTTGCAACAGTTTGGAGAGAATGCCTGAAGAAGAACTCATAAGCAGCCCATGTTGAAAGCATTTGCACTTGAGAAACAATGTTTTACTCCAGTTAATTGGTTTCAAGTAAGAGGTTTTATAATGAAATCAAAGTTAGTAAGTTATTGGAATGAACTTGTTTATTTACAAAAGAATTTATAGCACTTGGTTTAATATTTACACAAGATTATTTAAATTTCTGAAAGTTTAAATGGTGAACAACATTCATTGAAAGTGAGATTGTATTTACTATATTTAGCAATAGATACAGTAATATTAAATAGCATAGCTTTTTAAATTAATTAATTAATTAATTTTCAATATTTATCTCATTATTACAGTATATATGTTCAATATGTTGCATTTATAGATGATAAGTAAATTAGCTATTCTTAAGAATGTTGAAATTTTATAATTATTATTTAACCATGTATTATTTATCTAAAACTACTATAATAAATTTTAGATATATGTATTTCATTATGTTTATTTTATATGCAATAGTTCAGTTATTATTTTGAGCAGATTATGCCATGAAGTTAAGGAAGTTTTGAAGTTGAGAGCAGAAAATTACATCTATTATCATAAAAAAAGTTTATCAAACCTTTTGTAATGATAATAGTCATGAAGACTGAAACCATCAAATTAAAAATTATAAGTTAAAATTTTTTATTCAATCACTACTTTTGAATCTAATGTGGGGGCTGGGAGGATGTTAAAATCGAGATCCAACCTTTTTGGGAAGGGTTTCTGCAACCAAGTGTGTATTATTGGACACATCTTCACTTTAGATTTCTAGATAAGATTGAAATACATAAGGCATGACAATAATAGTAAACTCTGTAATCCAGGAATAAGCCTCTCAAGAGGATGAATGTAAAATCAACTACACCAACATAGAAGTAAAAAAGGAAGATTTATTGCAAAACCAAAATGTAACATTATAGCTACATTTGGATAAACAAAGCCTATTTTCAGAATTTAGTCTGTTTAAATACTGTTAAATCTATGGGATGCCTAACCAGGAAGGATAACCTAAAATTTGTGCCTCACAACATACCAGGAAAAGAGTTGCTGCTTGTCTTTTCTTCGGTTCCTTTGTTTCTTACTCTTGCACCTTTTTCTTTTCTCTTCATGTCTGTCTCTTCTGGAGTTGACTCTCTTCTCACCAGTGACAATGTCCTACACGTTTTGAGCTTTCTTGCTGAAATTTTTCCAGCATATAGACGCACCATTCCACATGAGTTTCTTTCTGCTATACAATCAGAGAATGAGGCAAACATCAAGACACAGTCTTCCTGATGTGAACATGAATGCACAAGATATTCACTGCTACCAATCCAATACCCAAGTTGTGCTCAATATCCTTATGGGTTATATGGGGAAGTTTTCTCTAAGCAGTTTCTCAACATGAACTACATTTTCCAAAGTCACTGCAGTTGCAGGTCAACTGCTTTTCTCTCATCTTTAAGGCTATTTCTGCCATGTCTAAATTCTCCAAACCACCAGCATACTTGCATTCTAGATAGACAAGAATCAGAAAATGCTGCTTGCAAATGGTGGTGGCACTGGGAGTCCAACAAACCATATTTAAAGTGATAAAACATCATTGCTTGGAAATGTTCCCTCTTCAGCTCCATTTTCAACATCTAGATTTGGTGGCACTTCTTGTGTATGAGAAATTTCAAGGACGCAGGTATACTATTGAATTTATGCTCAGAAAATGTTTGGAAGTAAAATATTGCAAACCGTTTTTTTCTGCATTCAGTGGTTTTCACATATCTGGAAACTTTCAGAGTAGCCTTTGTATTTTTTAAAAACAGCTTTCTAGCATCAACACTTCTTTATAAAGAACAACACAATGTTTCTTCACAAAGTTTTCACAAAAGTAAAAAATAAAATAATTTAAGCTAAAATTTTTGTTTACGAATTCTAAATTTCCTTAAATGTATTTCTAAAACTATTTTAATTTTTGAAATTATATCAAAATATAAATGATATACAAATATACTAAAAGATATAAATACTTTGAAAGCAAAATTTTTGCAGTTAAATTATCATTATAGAAATGTTTTAATATATTAAATTATTATTAATAAAATATTATAGAAACATTTACCATGAATCCAAACAATTAATGGAAAAGGTTCACTGGATTCTACAATTGGCTTGATAAATATAGCTTCATAATCCAAACCAGCTTGATATAAAAAACCATATATAAAATACATTTTTATTATAGAATATAATAAAGAGCAGTTTAAATACAGTAAAAATATTGTTTTAACATAATTAATATAAAACTTTTTAAAAATAAATTAAATTTTGCCTAATTCATTATAATGAATATATATTGTCTATTTATAATCTATTTATTTAAGTTGATTTGGCTGCAATTTGAAAAAATTGTAGACCCATAAATTCACACTGTTGTCCATTTGTCTGTGTTTCCTTACTCTAAAGAATGGAGTTAAATAGGTAAATTCCAAGATCATATATGGAAACCTTGAGGCAGAGGATCCCAATTAGCTATATACGACTTCCAATGCAAACCAGAAGTTCATCTTATTTCAATTCAAAACTTCCCCTGAAAGCAATTAATAGATGACTGATACAACTTTATTGTTAAAGGAAAAGATTGATGTACAGGGGCAAGCCAATACTAATTTGAGGTGAAAAGCATATATTTTAAACTAGTTTAAGTAACGCTGTACCAATGTTTACTCAGAGCAAGGCTGCTTGCACCTTCATTTTCTAGATTATGAGGGAAAAAAGAGTTCTCAACAATATATTTGATTTCTATTGTATCATTTAAAGTACAAATATAAGGTCAGAATAAGCCATTAATTAATTGCTATGCCAATGTCTCATAAAATTCTGTCTATCACTATGGGCCTTGGACTTAAAGATTGACTAGTAGCAATGTTTATTGTAACTCTTTAAAAATACTATGTAAGTTTTTTTTTTCACTCGACTCAATGCAACATAGGTAAGACCAATAGCTCTCTCTTTTTTACCTATATCTATTTTGATTTTTGGAAGAGTTAATCCCTGTGATTTATGTATAGTCATCAAGTATGCTAAGGTAAGGGGAAACTGTCTACAAGATCACAATATACTGTCATTGTTTGAAGAGTATTTTATGGGGATTATTGAAAACAGATTACCATAGATGAAAGGTCCCTGATATCTATCAAATTCCACTAAAATAAACAGAGGAAGAGCTGGAGGGCGAGCATTAGGAGCATATATAATGTAGTGTATAGTAAAATAACCACTTCACACCTAAGCGATAATTCCAGCAAACAAACACTAAAAGGTTTAATGTTCAAATGTTTTCGGCCATCTTTCAGAGGCCTTCGTCAGGAAAAATTGCATAGAACAGAAAAAACAGCTCTATCTAACAGATTTTCGAATATAGCTGTGAAATATATTTGAAAATCTGTTAGATAGAGCTGTTTTTCTGTTCTATGCAATTTTTCCTGACGAAGGCCTCTGAAAGATGGCCGAAAACATTTGAACATTAAACCTTTTAGTGTTTGTTTGCTGGAATTATTGCTTTGGTGTGAAGTGGTTGTTTTAGTATATATTTCCAGTTCCTTTGTCAGTTTTTTGTCTGTAGCGTATAGTTCCTAGTGAACAATTGACGAGACCTTCTTGAACCCATAAGTTGACTCTCAGCATGATTCTGGCATTAACTGAGATTCAAAGAACTGAGTCATTTTTGGACGAAGACAAGGCAATATCTGGAGTGTTTTCAGATGCTATCAGGTCAGTGCATAAGTTCATGCGTATTTTTATCTACAAAAAAAAGCAACAAAAAATTTTAATTAAATTTTATTTCAATCTATAATGTATTCACCATTATTTTGTACAATTTCTTGCCATCTTGATGGTAGCTTTTTAATCCCATCTTTGTAAAATGATTTAGGTTTTGAATCAAAATATTCAGAAATAGCCCTTTTTACATTGTTCTCATCCTCAAAAGTTTTTCCTTTTAAAAAATTCTGCAAACTCCGAAAAAGATGATAATCACTGGGAGCAATATCTGGCAAATATGGTGGATGAGGTAAAATTTCCCAGTTGAAGCTTTTGAGTTGAGCAGTTGATGTTGTTGTCAGTTAGCTATTGACAGTTCATGTGGTATCCATTTTCCTAGCTTTGAAACTTTTCCGATTTGATGTAGATGTCTATGAACAGTTCCATGGGATGAATTTAAACATTCTGCAATTTCATCAACTGTTAAAGATGGTTCTGCTTCAACTAGTGCAGAGAGAGCATCATCATCAAAGTCAACGGGTCTTCCAGTCCGAGCCTTATCCTCCACACTAAAATCATTATTTCTAAATCTTTCAAANATAATATGAGCCAACAATAGAGTTAGGAATAAACAAATCAAATATAATATAATTAAGAGATATATTTATTATGAAAAGATAAATAATATTATTACAAATGAGTCAAATGCTAATTATACAAAAATATTATATCAAAGAAATAAACCTCAAAACGTAAATGATTCTAAAAGGAAATAAGATGAATGACAATCCATTATCTAGTTCCTTTCTAAGAGAGAGTCTACAATAAATTCACATTATCTGTAATATATATACACTTGATGTGGAGTGTTGAAATTCTTCAATTGAGGCACAAGTTTAAATTCTTCTCAAATCTTGTCTTATCTCAGGAATTCCCTAAGTGTGTGCTGCAGTGCCCCAGGGTGACGTAAAGAGTAAACGGGTGTGCAGTGAGGGCTTTGAAGCTAACGGAACTTTCTATCTAGACTAAATCATTCCCGTAGTTTGTAGAACTTTCTAGAAGACTTATATAGCATACTATTGGATATTGTTGAAGTTTTGAGAAAGTTCTAAGTAGGTGGTGCTGCTAGTATAAATATGGCATTACTTTGGCAAACCAGTTCAGTTCCTAAATAACAATCAAAGAGTAAACATCTGAGAAGAAAAGTAAATGGTTTTAAGATGCCCTCTACTGCTACCAGAGGAGCGTCTGCTTTGTTTCAGTGTGTTGCTTTGTATATTCATATAGTTGCAGGAAAATGGAAAAATTTTTATAAAATAGGCAAGTCGACAGTTTAAACGAGAGTGATCAAGCATTGACAAGTGATGGGGTAGCAAAGAAACAGAAATATTGTAAATACGATGATAACTATTTGAATTTTGGCTTTACTTCAGTAGAAGTAAACAATGAAGAGAGACTGCAGTGTGTGCTCTGTTTAAAAGTTCTAGCACCCGAGTGTATGCTCCTAAGTAAACTAAAGCTACATCTCGAGACCAATCACTCTAACATGGTTAAAAAATCTTGCAAATTCTTTAGTAAAAAGTTGCAAGATTTACAAAAGGAAAAAAGTGTGTTTACTAAACAAGTATCAATACTAAGCAACACACTGCTAGCATCTTTTAAGGTCGTATACAGAATGGCAAAGTGCAAAAAACCTTACAGATCGCAGAAGAGCTTATTATACCAGCTGCTCTTGATATAGTTAATATTATGATGGGAGAATCGGTGGGAAGATTAATTACAAAGGTACCTTTGTGAAACAACACTATTACTCAAAGAATCCATCATATAGCTCTGGATTTCAATGTCCAATTAATAGAGAAAATAAAAGGCAGAGAATTTGGTCTGCAACTTGATGAGGCTACTGACAGTAACAAAGATGCACACCTTATTTATTATGTACACTTCCTGGATGATAATATTATCATTGAAGATCTCCTGTTCTGAAAAAGCATCATTGCAAGTTCAAGACTTATTTGAGATGCTTGACAAGTTTATAAGCGAAAATGATTTGGATTGGGAAAAGTGCATTGGTATATGTACTGATGAAGATCGATCAATGTCTGGTCACTATGGAGGATTGCAGGCACTTATTCTCAGAAAAGCACTGCATGCTATGTGGACCCATTGTATCATCCATAGAGAAGCACTTGCATCAAAGTTGATGAGCTCTCAATTGAATTTGGTATTAGAATGTGTCGTAGATGTAGTAAACTATATAAAAACTAGGCCACTGAAAAACAGACTTTTCAAAAAGCTATGCATGGACATGGGAGCTGAACACACATCACTGCTACACTACTGCAGTTCATGATGGCTTTTATGTGGCAACGTCTTATCCCATGCATTTGAGCTACATCAAGAAATTCACACTTTTTTACAAGAGGAAGGTCATGAAAACTCCAGGTACTTTGCCGAGCCTGATTTTTTGCTGAAACTAGCATATTTGTGCAATATATTTGACAAGCTGAAATCCTTCAATCTGTCTCTGCAAGGCAATAACAGGACCAAGGACTTTCTCAACCAATCGCAAGCTGTCATCTTACTGGAAGACCCAACCCCATCTGTGTTAAGAAAAACAAAGAAAATAATCACTCTCCCAAGAGTTACTTCTGTTATTTCGGGACGCCTGGATCCCCCATCCAACGTCACTTGCCCCAGACTTTTCTTTGAAACAAAAGCGCACAAAGAGAGCTGGCTACTTCCTTCCTCCTCCTAAGTAGTGTCCTCATCTGTCACGGCTAAAGAAAGGTTATGTGCTACACTGGCCGTCTTGAATCCAGACACCTACACATTTTATAAAATGGATATTGTTGCATTGTACCCTTCGGTACCGCACTTTGAGGTGGTGATGCTTGCCAATACCTTGCTTATCAAAGAGGGCTACACAGCAAGTTTTAGAAGTTTGTGAAGCATTGCTCTTCATTATGGAGCACAATTACTTCCGCTTCAATGGAAAAATTTACCTGCAGAAGCAAGAGGTGCCAATGGGCTCACTGCTGTCAGCTGTATTGGCAGGACTTATGCAGCACCTTGAACACAGCGTTTTTAAATTCCCTCTCACCATAGCTTACCCCTTAATTTATTTAAGATATGTAGATGATATTCTTCTGGCGTGCAGAATACAGAAGACTCCTTCCAGATATTAGAACATCTCTTATCAAAGATGTATTCGTCTATACACTTCGCTTGGGAGAAGGAAGTTGGGAGAAAAATCGCTTTCTTGGACAAATCCTAGGAAGGCTTGGAGTTTTCCATTTATCACAAGTTTGGCAATATCCCATCCATAATGTACCTCAGTACCTCAGTACCTGCCACAGCCTGTCAACCACAGCAATATGTTAATGCGGCCATAGCTTCCTTGATCAGACGGGCATCCTTACTACCATCGACACAACATCT